AATAAACGAGGAAACGGCCGCGTAAAACGTCGATAATCCGCGGAGATGAAAGGGCGAGAACGAGGCTCGTAACGGCTGGTGGTACATGTGGGCCAACAGTTTGTCGAGGTGACGTCGCTACGATATGGGGGCAGGTCAGTGATATCCAAGCGGAGTTTAAACGGTTGTTCGCTTCGGTACAAACTCTCAATGGCTAGCGAGAGCTCTCGAACGGCTTGTAAGCACGAGAACAAAACAAACCCGCCTCGGTTCTACGGCGATCCTGGATTACTCCTCCTAACTGACTGGCTCGTGATCAACCCGCTATTAACCGTTTGCACTCGATTTATTTTTAATGTTGCCGGATTTAAACTTGTATTTACTTTTGGGGAAATGGATTGAAGTAATTTACAGCGGTAGAATTCAAAGTTTTATATTTATTTTATTTATTATTATTATAACAAGATTTCAGTTTTATAATCTTTTAATGTGTGATACTTTTCAAAGTACCACAAATGAAGTATGATAAATGTGTATTTCCATATCTCCAGCATGATATACGAGTGGCAAGGGTTAATCCTGTTGAGTCTTATGTTTCAATATTTACGAGGGAAATATTCGAGTGCCACGTGTTCAGCGGCAAATTAACACATTTTATATTACGGGTTTATTGAAATCAGTGCTGTGTAAAACGCGATGAAAGATATTGGATTTATTTTTAATAAAGCTTCTATTTGATTTCTAAGTAGTGCAGTCTTTCAGGAACAGAAGGACTTTATTTTTTCTGGTCTTTGTAGTTTGTTCTGGGGAATGTTTTGCGTGAGCGTTATTGGTTTTTAAGTTCGAAGAATTATGTTCTTATATCTGCTGTGATATTTTAATGAGATCGTCGTGACTATTAAATTTAATATATAAATAATAAGTAAAAATAAATTGCAGTCTATATTATATTTCATTTCAATTTTTGTTTTATTACATTACAAAAAAACGATAATTCGATTCTCGATGACATGAAGTTGCTGTCCATAGACAATATCTTTCGTGCAGAATATATTGTTCATACCTGAAAGTATAACTATACATTATCATTTAATGCGTCCGAATGATAAAATAAATGATCAAAATAAGACGTTATTCCATTCTGCAGGGATGACACATCGCACATATCATTATTCTCTCACATACATTGAATTTTACCATACATTTACAGCAATTCTAAATAAAAACAGGTCACTTCACCGAAGAAAGTAACAATAATACAATCCATGACATCAGTAACACAAACAAATTCGATACCAAGGAACAAATCGCTAAA